TAGATTTGAAAGAGTAAAATTAAGATTTACAAAAAGTAGAAAACATGACAGATTCTTCACACTTTTATAATAGTAGTAGATAGTAGATAATTCTAACATATAGTGAGGACTTACACCATACACATGAATAATTTTCCCCATGCTCACAGTAGTGTTGCACCACCATAAAAATATTAATACAAATAATTTTTGACTATCCTACTGATATCATAATTTCCCCAATTAATATTCTATTTGTCTCAAAATATTACTTCCTTATTTCATTTTTCATTATTCCAAAATATTACTTCATTTTAAAAAATCAGGAAGCAAAATAATACAAATTTCCTATTTTGTTTTTCTTATAAATTCACTAACATTATTTTTGAAGTACAATAATTGTACAAACAAAAGTAATTTTGGAAAATTAATAATATTTTTGAAATGTAATAATTATACTATCAAAAAAGTTAAATTTTTCAAAAGAGACAAATATTTTGAGACGGTGCCCATCAAATTCTTTAATTAACTCGAGGTAAATGAGTATTTATCACTTCCAAATGTAGGCTTCATTTGGTTATATGGATTGGGTTGGGTTGAGACATAATTAGCAACTAAAAAACAAATAGGTTAAAAGATCAATAAGATAAAATGTCACATTCAAATCATATTTATTTATTTTTTATCTCATAAAAGTCAAAAAATTCGATTCAAACGAACTTTTTAATCTCAAGCTAAAAAAATTCATACTCACGAGTAGTGTTACTCTAACTAAAAAATTAGATTTACTTTTTAAATTCATAATTGTGACAATTTATTAAATTATATAAAACAAATATTCTCTCATGTCTTTTATACTTACCAGTCAATTATAGATTTAGTAATGTATATAAAAGATAATTGACTGGTAAGTATAAAAGACATGAGAGAATATTTGTTTTATATAATTTAATAAATTGTCACAATTATGAATTTAAAAAGTAAATCTAATTTTTGGTGATCTGAGTTGGTTCTATTTACCTCTGGCCAGGGTTCGGTGATCTGAGTTGGCCTACTGCTGTCTTGGTGCATGTTTTGGTGATGCTGGACTGATGCAGATGGAGTTTTGTGTGCAGGTGTGATGGTGTATGCTGGTGAAAGTGGCAGCGGTCTGATGCTGGACTATTGCAGTTTGCAGTGGCAGTGGTCTGATGCTGCTCTGAATGTTGATGCTGCTTGGAGTGGGTTGAAGTGGGATGTAGAATGCTGTCTGCTGGGCATGTTGGACTACTTCTGGCCTCTTAGCAGAGGAGTTAGTTTGATATAATTGGACTGCGGGGCATGTTGATTCTGAGCTGCCTTGGACTGCTGGGCATGTTTTGGATTGCAGGTAGTAGAATTAATGGCAAGGTGGGAAACACAGTCCAAGCTACAAACCCAAGGATGATGGAAGTTTGATAAAAGTGACTTTGGTTTTTCAAAAGCTACATGAGGATACACCTCCTCCAACCATGTACTTGGATTTTGTGGCTTATATCAGTAAGGTTATAGAGTTTTACTTGTCAGAGCCTACTTCTGCTGGGTTGAATAGTAGTGTCCAAGAGCCTACTACTGCTGGTTGCTCTGGTTGTCTCCTTTGCTGCTGCTATGAGGATGGTTGATCAGAGAGGCTGGTGAATAGGAATATATATCCTGTTTCGTTGTTAGGTAGTTTGAATGCTTGATGTTGCTGCAGGTGGTAGGTAGATTGATTGATTGGTTTGTTCTAGGTGTGGTCAATGCTTTTTTAGGTGAGGTAGTCTTTGATGTTTGTGGTTGGTTCCTCACCAACTCTTGTGGTTGTGCTAGCATATGATTGAGCGGTCCTATCGGTGCCAACCTAGTTGGGATTGATTGGGTTCGCTATGATGCTTTCTGCACTCCTCCTCCTATCCTTTTTTGATGTAATAGTTTTTCTGTTTCATCAATAAAGTTCATTTTCTTTTCTGTTCAAAAAAAAAAAAAATCTAGAAATTAGGTTTGTTTATCATTTTCCTGCACTCATATACAAGTAATATAATTTACTTTACACTATATGTATTATAAACAATTTTATACTTTATGAAGAAACAATCGTACAAGCGAGTGTAATGAGAAAATTGATTGGTGTATTTAGCAACTCCCTTACGTTTTCTTTTAGAAATTCTAAACTCAAAAAATTACCTTTTCAACCTAAACCCAACTTTGATGGTTGAAACATCCGTCTGACTATTTCATAAATAGGGATGACAACAGAGTAGGTTTGTAATGACCTACCCTAGGGGTACAATTTTGGCCTGCGGCTCGTGGGCGGCCCGAAGCCCGCCGCGGCCTGAGGTGGGCCCGACCCGTTAAGGCCCGAGTCCAAGCCCAGCCTGAGGCCTTGGGCCAGGGCCTGGGCCAAGGCCATCGTTTTGAAGCCCGGCCCGCTTGGCCCACCTGTGGGCCCGCCCAAAAGTCCGACCCGAGGCCCAGTTTTACTTTTAATGAAAAATAATAAAATTTTGGTAAAAAAAATTTAAAAAAATAAAAAATAATTGTTTAGGCCCGCCAAAGTCTGAGCCCAGGCCCAAGCCCAAGAACCTGGCCCACTGGCCCGTCTATAGCCCGAATACCCCTGGGCCTAGGCTTGGGCTTGGACCTAGTTTTTTGGCCCATGGGCCGGCCCGGCCCAATTTTTTGGCCGGAGCACGCAAGGCCCGACATGGGCCAGGCCGGGCCCGAGCCCGGATGGGCCGAACCGGGCCAAAATTATACCCTTAACCTACCCTTATCTCATATCATACCGAGAATAGGAATATGTTGATAAGGTTTACCGAGATAACTATTTTTTTCTTCTTACTCTCAATACCTTGTGAATGTTGGGAAAGTGGGTTTTTTAGTTGTAGGATATTATTGGAGAAATTTTTTTTTTTTGTGTTTGAGAAGATAGTTGAGTTTTTTTGTGATTGGATATGATGTTTGTGAGAGAAAAAGTGAAATGATTATGGGGTTTGAGGTGATATTTTGTTTAGATTTGTTTTTTTGGTTTTGTAACCAATTTGTTTTTTAGTAAAAAAAAATCAAAAAAAATCCTTCCCAAACACTGCCCTTTTTAGGCATCTATAGTGATTAGGATGAATATCTTGTATTCGAAAACTAGCAGTTTGCCCTGTCAATCCTCCTGGGCCTAGCAAAGGCGTGGTTATTTGATGTGAATTCTCTCTTTTGTAGTAGATGCGGAACAAATAGAGAGGTGACGGGGTGGGGAAAAAGCCAACCCTACACACCCTCCCACATGCAACAAATTAAAGCTCTACTTATGCATCTCTTATTTCGCCACTTTCTTTTTCCCCCTTTTGGGTAATTGTCCCAAATTTGAATCTCACTAACTTTAGACCAAGTCTTTGCTTCTCAATCCAACCAAGGACGAAAAGAGAAAGATGGGATGAAAAGCAAGCATATTGCAATTTGCAAGTGTTGAGAGAGCCTATTACTTTGTTTTTTTTCACTTTGAAGAGAACAGAGACTACATATGTTTTTGTTGCTTTTATTTATTTTTTTTTGTTTTTTTGTTTTTGTTTTTCTTGATCGATACGAAAATTGAGAATCTCAAGTAGATTTACAAGTTTGAATGGACCAAAGACCAAAACAGTCTCACAACACTCCACCAAAAGAATCAAGTGAAAAAGACTAACACAAGACCTTTTCTTTATCAGGGGCAACGCTCTATATCTTTACCTGGTGGATTCGCTTTAAGTTAGGAACAACACATGCCACCTCTTCAAACATTGTTTTTTAGAATATAATATTACATATATCTTAGGAAAGGAAAAGTTCTTCATTTCAGTGAGAAAGGATATACGACCCATATGCCTATATATGTATAAATTAAGGGTGTTATAATATTACATCTACATTTTGGACAGTTTAATAAATGAGAAAGATCGATTAAATTTGAAAATCGTTTAGTAGTGTCATTTTAAATTACTCAAACTGTCGTTATAGAAAAAGAGGGAGCAACTAACAATTTTATGAGCAATTCTTGAAGAGAAAAGAAAATGACATAATTTATGAAGAAATTTACAATGTGCACCATTTCCAATGGTGTGTATTATAAAAAAGTTATGATTTTTTATGATGAACGTTATGATTATTTGTAATGTGTATTATGACATTTTGTAATAAAGTTATAAATAACGAATTTAGTATAAATTAAGGGTGTTATAATATTACATCTACATTTTGGACAGTTTAATAAATGAGAAAGATCGATTAAATTTGAAAATCGTTTAGTAGTGTCATTTTAAATTACTCAAACTGTCGTTATAGAAAAAGAGGGAGCAACTAACAATTTTATGAGCAATTCTTGAAGAGAAAAGAAAATGACATAATTTATGAAAAAATTTACAATGTGCACCATTTCCAATGGTGTGTATTATAAAAAAGTTATGATTTTTTATGATGAACGTTATGATTATTTGTGATGTGTATTATGACATTTTGTAATAAAGTCATATCACTTTTTTAATACATCACTTCAAATTCAACTCAAATCCAATCCATATTTCATAAAAAATTAAAAAATAGGATCATGCTTCGGAGCTCTAATTAGAGCTGCAAAAGGACAGCTCTAATGAGCTGTCAACCAATAACAAAAGTCAAAAAAAAAAAAAAAAAAAAAAAACAGTGAAGTAAAAGATAAAAAAGAGGGAAGAAAAAGACAAATTAATGCTCTATTAGAGCTCTTCTTTTAGAGGTCTAAATCATTTTTGTAAAAAATATATTTATTTACATCATTCCAAATAACCTCAGTTTTTTACATGCAACTATTTATGTATGTAGATCTCTATCCTTCAAATTATTCTCTTTCTCTCTAAAATAAATAAATAAATGCATGCACGTAAAAAACACTGAAGTGGGGTTCTGCAAAGGCAGTTTAATATTCCCAAGATTCTTTTTGAGTTTATTTTGTGTGAGAGAAGCTTGCTTTTCTTTACTGCCCCGATACCTTACTACAACAATATGTGCAAGTTAAAAAAAAAAAAAAAAAAACCACCACCTCACAAAGTGGGATTCTTCAAATGTTTTCATGAGCAATTACAATCCCATTTTTCAAACAGGGTCCAGCTTCTCCCCAGTTAGTTGGAGTCCAGTTATGAGAGGAGTCATAATTCTCGTTGAACTACAATTAAACAAGCGAAAAGTCACGTACTTTTCAAAAATACATACAAAATGGCAGACATCTCTAGCAGTCTTTTGCCCTTTTAGCTGAAGTTGCTCAAATTCTGTTGCCTAAGCTTGACCAGGTGGCCGTCGAGAGTTTCCAGCTCTCCTGTAGGAAAAAAAAAAAAACAAACAAAAAAAAACAAACAAACAAACAAGGTTGATACGATTTATTAACTACTATGAAATTTTAATTTCATCTTGGAATTGTTTGATTTAAAAAGAACAAAGTACTTTTCTTGCTTTTGAGGATTGAAAATCAAAGATATAGCTTATAATAACAACAACAATATTTTGAAATTGCTAAAAAAATTATGTTGTAGGTTCTTTTTAGTTAACATTTTGAATATACATATAGTGCTTTAGAAAAAAGGCTGCCTAGCTAATATTGATGCCTCCTTTACTATAGATGTACTATTAAAGCATATATTCTTAGTTTTCTAACTAAAGTGCTTATAAGTTCTAATGGTAAAGAAGAAAAGGAAAGAAAGTGAGCATGAAAAGGTTAAAGGCCTAGAAAATGTAGAGAACATAATGAAATGTTAACTGGCTTTAGTAACATGATTAAGAATAAAGTTAAGCGACATACTTTATTTTTCTTCTTTTCTTTGCATGGTTTAATGGGGGTGAAAACACAAGTTGTAACACAGTAACCTTTGATATTAATGGAACTTTGAGAACTTGAAACATGAAAATTGATGTAACAGTTGGCAATAAAACCACCCTCATATGTGTCCTAAGATATAAGCATAAGCAAAAGCAAAAGCGAATATTGTAAGCAATTATATTTTTATGCTTTGAAAAGGATTGAGTGTCGAATAGGATAGGAGTATATATAATAATTCCATAAAGCTTAATTAGTTTTATAACAAGCCATCTAGGGTTTTCCGAAAATGTTGATTTTGATTTTGAGCGAGACAACAACCAATATTTCATTCACATACTGATAAATACACACTTATTTATACAAAAAGGTACATATGCACATATATAAGATGATTTTTACTAATTTCTAAGTGGGATCCAGATGTTGGCCCGAAATAAGTTGTGGTCCTTGAAAATTTCAAAGAAAAATGAGGTAAAATAAACACACAGAGAGAGAGAGAGAGAGAGAGAGATTGAAAAATGATTCATCCACACGATTTCTCTCTCAAATCTCCCCGAATGACGTAGCAACTAAAATTTGAAATTACAGGTATGATATACTGAATAAATCATAAAATATGAACGGTTCAGATTATCAAAATTGGACCTAAAAGTAGACCCGAAGGCCTGCAAGGACGGGTGCAAGTCCAGAAACTGCAAGGAGAGGATCCTCATTCTAACATGTCCACTGTTGATGCTCTAACAAAGTCCCTCCGTTTCAAAATCAATTTTTTAAAACATGTGTGTTGATGTCAATTATAAGTTGTCTTTATTAAAAATAAATAAATATTATATAATTCTAAAGTACTAGAATAAATTTGATTTTTTTTTATTTTTTTGTTTTATCCTTTAAAATTTATATATTTAAGAGGTTTTATCTCAGTTGATAGTGAATTTCTTTCTTAAAAGTGTAGATCGATTTCCTGAAAAATATACATTACTAAGTAGGAGTTTCCTGATAATAAAACTACTTCAAGATTTTCCAAACACATGCATAAAAGTTGGGACAACTACATAATTTTTGATACATATATGTACTTAGAAAATTACTTTAAAAAGTATTTAAAATTTGAAATGTATGAATCATATTCACTCTCAGTGGTGCAACATCATCACACGCAATTTAAATCTAAACAATAAATTCAAATTTTGAATATTTTTTTCGATACATAGTATTTCTGGTATAAATATCTAGGATGTTTCCTATCTTAATGCTAAAACATGAAATCATATATATATGATGCAAATACAAAGACATACAATTAATACCTGTTGTGTATAGGATCAGGTCCATTTGGAATTCTTCTTTTGCTCATGTAGTTGAGATCAACAGGCTTCTCCTTCTCTCTTCCTTCTAGCATCTCCATATGCTTCAAGCTTCCTGCTTTCTGCAGGTTTAGCCTCGTTGTCGCATCTGTTCCTCCTGTTTCCAAAATACCTACCAACAACAACCAAAAAAATCCGGCCAAAGCGAGTGCTCCAAACAAGGCCTTAGAAACCATGCCACCACAACCCATATCTCTCCTATATTTTATTTTTGAGAAGAAAATATGCAGTGTACTTGTAGAATATAATAGGTGGCGAAAAAAATCATAGGAAGCTCATGATTGTTGGATGATGGTTGTACAGCATATGGGTCTACAAGGGAGGAGGAGGAGGAGGAGGAGTGAGGTAGGAAAGAAGAGAAGAAATGAAGAGGAGAGAGAGTGAGCCTCTAATATAAGAATTCTCTAGGCAAGTTTTTTTTCACTTCATGAGTTAAGGGGGTAGGTTTTCTTTATAGGTTTGAGGGATTATTTTTTGGTAAGTAATTTTGAGGGATTCTGTTAATACTTTCTTGAGCCTCTATTAGGGTAAATATTGAGTGTGACGATATTAATGATTGTGCAACTAATTTTATTTATAATTTTTAACAGAAATTATAAAAAGAAATTTTAGAATTTGATCTTTATAAAAAAAATAAACTCCAAATTATTAATTTCATCAATTTAAATCTCTAATATTTTGATTTTCAATCTAAATTATTAGAATATTTTCGTTAAGTAAAATCGATGAAAATTTTTATTTTAATTATTAAACTCAATGTAAATGTACATAAAATGTTAAAAATATATATACATATATTTTTGTTGGTTTTATGTAACAAAAATAAGTAGTTGGTTTAAATTGAAAATAATCAAAAGTTTAGAGTTTAAATTAATAAAATAAAAATTTCATGATTTATCTTGTTTAAAAGGTCAAAATCTGAGAATATATATATATATATATATATTATAATTTCTCCTAATTTTTATTGATCTCTGATACTATGTAAGATTATATATTTTTACATAAAATTTGGACTTATTTCCCTAATTAAGGCGTTTTCTTTAACTTACAAAGCTAACTGTATTTTCAAAAAACGTTAAAAATATATATACATATATTTTTGTTGGTTTTATGTAACAAAAATAAGTAGTTGGTTTAAATTGAAAATAATCAAAAGTTTAGAGTTTAAATTAATAAAATAAAAATTTCATGATTTATCTTGTTTAAAAGGTCAAAATCTGAGAATATATATATATATATATATATTATAATTTCTCCTAATTTTTATTGATCTCTGATACTATGTAAGATTATATATTTTTACATAAAATTTGGACTTATTTCCCTAATTAAGGTGTTTTCTTTAACTTACAAAGCTAACTGTATTTTCAAAAAACAGGGTTTGATAAACATGCTTTTAAACTGTTTTCTTAAAATTGCTAAACATGTAAAAAGCATGTTTAAACACATTTTAAATTGAAAGCATGTTGGAACACGCTTTCAAATTAAAAATACACTTAATTATATAATTAAATAAAAAAAAAACTTAATAAGAAGATTTAATTTAATAGAGCAGATGATTGTGCAAACTCTTCGATGTCAACTTAATTGAGATCGTTGTATCTTTGCTATGATGCTCTCTACACCCTTGTTTTTATTGTTTGATGTCATTGTATTGTTACCTAATTATCATCAAAAAAATTACTTTTTTGCAGTTTAAAAAAAATAAAAAATTTAATATTTGTAACTTGAGAGTGAGAGAAAGTGGAGGTGGTTTCGAATGTAACATGGAGGGAACAATCGTGCTTTATATATGAGGTATTGAGGTCCCCTATACGCGCGACCACCTTCTTTTACTTTGATTTGTGTATTTTCATGCCATACCAACATACCTTAGGCCTGTTTGTTCGAGTCATGAGATTATTAATATCATAAGCTTGAGTGAAAAAATTATTAGTACAATGATATTATATTAGAAATGTTAAATAAATTATATTTATTTCCGCACTATATAGTACTATTTAGTTGGTTGAAATTAAATATATCAAATTACATAAAAGTCGTTGTTATATAAAATGTGACTTTATTATTTTTATAAAGTAAGAAACAAAATAGTTCTTTTACTTCCAATTTCATGGGGTTAAAATTTAATACTACCTCTCCCATGTGATTGCTAGTCGCCTACTTGGAGGATTTTATTTTTTTATCGGCAAAAATAATTTCATTAATTTTAAAATCAAAACAGTACAAGGTGATGGTTTGGTAACATGACCCTACTCCACCCCTAATAGAATGATACTGTGATGGCCAGTAATCTCAGATTACCAAAAGCCAACTTAACAAAGATTCACAAATACAATACGGGACAAGCATGTGCGAAAGTAATAAATTTAAATCTAATTAATTTATAAGAGTTGTGCATAGATTAAACGAAATAACATACATATTAACATGGTTTTATAACGTAGATACAAAAATAAAATAAACCTGATATTACACCTTGATCAAAAGACTTTTCAAGCCAAAACATACAAAAGTAAATGATCTACAAAATTAAGAAACATAATCTTCAAAATGATACAAAAATATGAAACAAAACACACCTTCTAACCAAGCTTAGGTGACATCGCTTTCTTGATCATTACCTACATATATATAACAGAGAGGGGTGAGCTAAAAACTTAGTAAATAAGTAATAAAGATTTGAATGAATAATATACGGGATTTTATCAAAACAATACATATCATAACTTGTAACAAAATCAAAGGATGAACCAAGTTCATTAATCAAAGGCTTTCAATACTTCAAATGATGTTTACTAACATCTACATAACACAAATGATGAACATTCACTGACAAAACAAAGGAATAATTGATCCAGAATTAATTAGACAAGCCCACCCGTCGGTGGCAAAGGAGATATCTCAAACAAAGGTGTTAGTTATTATAAAGTCTCCTAGCACACAAGAACTTCTAAAAAATGTCATCAAAACCGACATAACACTTGATACAAAAGCTAATGGATAATCATTTATACTTTATCAAATACTTTCCAAAACAACGTAAAGCTTTTATCAAAATATTATAACATAACTTTATTAAAAATACCACTCACAATAGCTCTTCGGTCAAGGGGATTAAGACAAAGATCCAAGATCTACAAATATATGATAATTCCTATTTAATTTCACTTCAAGAAGACAAAAAAAGATGCTCAAAGAAGATGCAATGCACTCTCAAAACAAGCTTCAAATGAGTAAAATAGATCTTGATATTTCTTCTCAAAACCAAGTCAAAATAGAGCAAAACATGTGTTGGGAGTTAAATCAATCTTTTTCTTTTTGGAAAAGTATGATGGGTACAAACCAGGTCTAAGAATGGATGCACAGAGATGAACTGGGCCGAAATGGCCTAGTTAGATGAACTCAGGAGGTCTTGGCCAAGGTTGCACACCTCTTGGCCATGCGGGTTGCCCACCCAAGATGTTATAAGGTGGTTAGCAAAGATATGTTATGGTCGGCCCAAGTGTGTAGTGGTCAGCCTAAGTGTGCATGCAAGGTAGAGCAAGGTGCAAGTAATCATGCAAGGTAGGCCAACGTAAGACATATGCTTGGCCTATGTGCGAAGGTTGAACAAGAGTAGGACTCAATGACCATACTTAAGGAATAATGAAATCTGAAAATCTATATTTCCCCTTGAAGAACATGTATGCTAAAATCATAACTCCTTATTCAAAATCTGAGTTTTCATGATTTGAGTTCAAAAACATGGACCTGGGTACCCATACTTGAAGATTTTATGAAAACAATTACAAAAATATGGAACTTGATACAAACTTTTAGATCGAAACAAAGTTTTTCTTCAAGAACATCACTTTCTCTCCCTAAAACAAATCTTTAAATCGATGGCTCATGAATCATGCTAGATCATGCAATGTGATCAGATTAACATAAAGAACAACAAAATTAGATTAAGAATCTAACCTCAAAGCACAAATCAAATGGTTCAAAGTCTCATAATCAAGTTTGAAAAATCTAGCTTCCACTAAGAACTTCTTCTTCTTCTTCATAGAGTTTCTCTCTGTTTAAGAAAAAGACATAGCAAAAGATATAGGCTTCTCCACTATAATTGACTTAAACCCACTACTGGGACATGTGGCACCATCTTGTCAAGTCTCCTAAAAAAGGCGTTAGAATGAAAGGATAAGAGTAGGTCAAAGCATATACAACAAGTAAAGTAGCATGGACACTTCTGACAGGGCAAGGAAACACAGGCTTTGGACAAGTGAAGGATAAGTAAGGTCTCATTGATCTCAACTAGGAGGGGTAACACTTGGCCTAAGTGTGACACACCTCGGCCTAGGTTGCGCAATACAAAAAACAGAGGTTACTAGGTGTTGCCTAGGGTGTATAACTCAGCAAGAAGGTGCCTAAGATGGTTGCAAGGTTCAAGGATCAAAGATCTCAAATGCCTAGGTGATGCACACCTTGGCCTAGATGATGCACACATTGACCAAGGTACGATGATGGAGGTGGAGGTCAACCAAGATGGTTCCAAGATGGCCCTAGGTATTGTCGTTCAACAGCCTAGGTGTGAGAGGTTCAAAGGTGCGATCTAGGTGTAAGGTAGCAAAGGTAGATAGCCTAGGTTCAATACACAAAGCATGGAACAAAACATGGATATTACACATAAGCAAAAACACAATAATATTAAAACAAGACAAGATCCCACAATTAGATAAAATATCAAAATTTACAAGATGCAAGCTTCACAAACCAAAATTACATAAATTCTCATGAATATGACTAAGGCAAAATATTGGTTGTTATAGTTGGTGTTTGGGAAGTGGGTTTTTTGTAGGTTTTTTTAGTTGTAGGATATTATTGGAGAAAAAAATTTGTGTTTAGGAAGATAGTTAGGTTTTTTTGTAGTTAGATGTGATGTTTGTGAAAGAAAAAGTGAAATGATTATGGGGTTTGATGGGATATTTTGTTTGGATTTATTTATTTTTTTTTTGGCTTTGTAACTAATTTGTCTTTTAGTGAAAAAAAAAAAAAAAAACCTAAAAACTAACTTCCCAAACACCCCCATAGTCTACCCCCCTGAAATAAGTTTGGTCCCCAAACTTGAGTTATCTTGCCCAAAAAACAACTCTGGATATCGAATTTTCATCTCCTCTTCCATTTCCAATGTAGCATCTTTGTTGTAATGCTTATCACATTCAATTTTTACCATCTATATTGACTTATTCCTCAATTGTTTCGCTTGTCTATCAATAATTCGTATCGGTTTCTCCTCGTAACCCAAATCTTCATTAACCACAATCTTGAAATTATCAATTACGTGCATTGCATCTTGAATATACTTTCTTAACATCAAAACATGAAACACATTGTGGACTTGGCTTAATTCCAGTGGCAAAGCAAGCCGATAGGCAATAGAGTTAACTT